ACATTCGTTGGAAAATATATATATATATATATATATATATATATATATATATATATGTATGTATTGTGAGACCGGAAACTACCTACACAATAGACTCTTCCAGGCCTATATTAAGTAGGCGACATAGCAGTCTAGAGTGTGACATAGAGAGTGACAGAGAGAAAACACAGAGAGACAGTGACAGCCGCGTACGACTACCAGTAATGGACACTAACATATAGTAAGCTCCGCTTACACTATCTCTGTAACCTGTTGTTAATATATCTTTCTTACATCTAATCCGTGTTCCGTGTTTTACTCCTGTGGTCCCAACTTTGGCCCCAAATCAATATGCATGTATATTATGAAAGGGAGAAAGTCAGACAATTATTTTAAGACTTTTTTCTGTTCATACATTCTATTTATAGATAGAAATATTTAAGTAAATTTAAGTAAATATAAACAATATTTCTCGGACATCCAGGCCCGTAAATGTTATTATCATAAAACAGGGTATTTACTTAAATATTTGTATGTATAAAAAGAATGTATAAACATAAAAATGTCTTAGAATATATATATATAGAGAGAGACAGAGAGATATATATATATATATATATATATATATATATATATATATATATATATATCGACGATTGCATATAGCATGAAACAGACTGTCGCCTCTAAGTGTTGACTTCTATGTTCACTTTTATATTTACACACGCTCTATCTCTGATATTGAGAACTTTATCCCATAAATATAGCACACCTTAAGACTATATTTATATATATATATATATATATATATATATATATATATATATATATATATATATATTTGGTTGGATAGATGAGTTTGTGACCCTGGGTTTCACGCTTTAGCGATCGTCAGACAAACTGATTAATGTTTTAAAAAATTTGGGTTTATTAACAAGGTATTCATTTTGGCTGACAAAACCACAAACATATATACTATAGAACCTACAGCCTACAATCAACTCTTAACCAACAAAATTACACAACTATACAAAAAGACAAACACGAACACAATAAACATTATAAACCAAGAAGCCAAAAATATAGCCACCAAATTGAATATAGACGAAAGAGTAAACAAACTAGCTGAACAACATGCTTTCATCACGGCAAAGGACCACAAAGCCAGCTTCATAGAAAAACCCACATTCAGACTAATTAACCCGGCGAAGAGCGAGATAGGAAAAATTAGTAAGGAGATCCTAGAAAATATCAACACCACCCTAAGAGAAAAATTAGGTCTCAACCAGTGGAAGAACACCAAAGCCGTCATAGAGTGGTTTAAAACGATAGACAACAAGATAATATAATCATATTATCTCACGTAAAGCCACTTAGAAACATGGGGCTACTGAGTGTGAAATAATTAAAAAACATAAACATTACTAAGGGTCGAGAACAAATAGTGATCACAAAGACACAGTAGATAACGATTCAAATTTCATTTAATTTTTGAAGATCTAAGTTGGCTGGAAATCAATAAGCTGGACGAGTGTTCCATAAGCGAGAAGTGAGAAAAAAGACATTGTTATCATAGAACTTACGGTTACATCTAGTCATTTCAGCTGTAAATTGATGAGAATTTGTTGCCAATCCAGTACTGCGTTTAAATTCAGAAAGTCTAGGTACCATAGCGAAGAGCTCATCAGTACAATTACCAACGATGCAATATGTATAGAAAAGGCAAGGGGAAGCAAGTTTACGCGGCTGGGAATTGTACTAAAGCTGGGAAGCCAGCTCAGGACTAATTTATAGACTTTACCGTAATAATAAGAAACGTCTTGGATTTTATATAACGGCACAGATTCATCATTAAATACTATTTTTAAACACGGAGGGAAACCTAAACTTTTGCGTGCAGAATAATTTTATTGAAGTTTGAATCTGATTTTGGGGACCAGCACTTAACCTTACATAATGTTTTGCAGCGATTCGGAGATTTTTCTGATCTCTGTAATTACTTTGATGTATGACTTAGTTTAATCTGTGTAATGTTCATCTGTTTTACATCTGAAATTACAGTCACAGGAGACTTCTTTTTCCTAATCAGATATCTGTCATTTATTTAGAGTCAGTTTGTTTGAAGACCAGCATTTCTGATGCCATTCCTTCTGTTACAATCCAAGACAATTCTGTTTCTATGAAGTTGACACTTGCCATCAGGTGCCTCCATTTGAAAATCTGGATTCTCTAAGGTAATGTGAATTTACAGAGGCCACAGTTGCTCTCGGCTCGTTTTATCGTGCCCTTTTCATTTAACTAGTAGCGCCTGCGAAAATGGCATAGCCCCCCCTATTGGAATGTTCTGATTAATCATAATTCTTAATTTTATATAGGAAGAAGCTCCTGGAGGTTTTAACGATTATAAAATAGCCATAAAAATATCCTAAAGCATCGGTTAATGTTTAGGCTTATGAACTAAACAACAGAATATTGCAAATATCAGTGATCAGGATGAATGCGAATCGTTATTTAAACATGGAGGAAAAGATTTTAAATTGATAAGTTTTTTTTTTATTTCACTGACGCAGATGTTAAATGCATGTGAGCATTATCACCTCCTTCATTTTCTCGTCTTTTTCTTTGCGATTATTATGTTTTATCTTTTCTTTGTTTCTTTCTTTGTGGTTATATTTTCTTTTTTTTTGATCTTTGTTTCTTTGTGATTGTTGTATTGTCTTTCTTTGCATCTTTCTTTGTTTATACTTACTTTCTTTTTTTCTTTTCGATTATTGTTTTCTTTTTTCTTTCTTTCTTTCTTTCTTTTAGATTATTATTGCTTTCTTTTTTCTTTCTTTCTTTCTTTCTTTCTTTTCGATTATTCTTTTCTTTTTTCTTTCTTTCTTTCTTTTCGATTATTGTTTTCTTTCTTTCTTTCTTTCTTTTCGATTATTGTTTTCTTTTTTCTTTTTTACTTTCTTTGTGAAAAATACGAAAACTTAAAGAAATCACATATGATTCCTTAAGTTTTCGTATTTCCCACTGGTTTCCTGTTTATTAATTCAACATCATCCCACAGGGAGCGGGGATCTCCCTCCCCCTCCCATGATCAGCTACAACAGAGTTTCCTATTTTCCTTCGTGATATGACTGTACGATGTTCTTGCAGAATTATCTTAATGGGGCGACTAGTGTCTCCATTATATCTTTTACTACAGCTGCACGGGATTGTATACATACAAACGATTCCATGTTTATAGTAAAGTTTTTAAAGAAAATGAGAAAAAAAGAATAACTATCAATTGTAAGAAGACAGAATGCATTGTACGAGGTATGATCAACAAAGTATCAGGATTGTCGCTATTTTCTCGCCTTTTTCTTACTTCCTTTCTTTCTTTCTTTCTTTAATATTAATGTCTTTGTTTCTTTCTTTCTTTGTGGTTACGTTTTCCTTTTTTTACTTTCTTTCTTTCTGATTGTTATATTGTCTTTCTTCCTTTCTTTCTTTGAGATTATTATACTTTCTTTTCCTTTATTGCTTTCTTTGTGATTATTATGTGCTCAGGGTAAACTAGAAGATTATCCATAGTTTATAAATCCCCGCATTGGTTTTTCGGATTAACATCGATGTCATATCCCCGTTTATGAAGTTAGGCTCTACAGCGATCAGCATCTGGACCAGAGGGGCAAGGCGTCACCGGAGCCAGAGGGAAGGGATTCTGTAGGGCTGGGAAAGAGAGCTTTTTTTGCTGTTGATTACTGCACCACAGAGGGGTGGGGGTCGCTGGTGCTGTTGTTCAATGGTTCGACTGCATGTAGAAAGTTGTCTTGTCTTGAGCCTCTTTGTCATTGATTCACAGCCGCGGCGGGGATGACCAAGGTTAGTTTCCCGTTTCAAGTTGCGAGTAGACTGTCCTTCTGATGTAAGGGAATGCGATGCCATTAAACAAGTATAGGTCATCTACTTAGGTTGGATTGAAATGCCCATTGACTGATCTGTAAAAGGCGTTTAAAGCAAGGTCAATTTTCTTGCTATGTGATTTACAAAATGAAATTATTTGAGCAAGTTATCTCGTGTGAATTCTTGTTGATTGCTATATATACTGGTTGATATGTACACACAGGAAGTAATCAATTCCTGCGTGTGTTTCATTTTCCGATAGAATGAAAGATTGACATAAAAACATACAAATGAATATAAGTCATTACAGCCGAGAGTATTATCAGAAATTTTATTGATTGACTTGTTTTTTTTTTACGGATTATCAACATTTTTCAGATTATTTAAAGTCAAAAAATAATTTTTTAGAGTATAAGAATTTGGAGAGGGATAATAATGTTTTTTGATATCAACGAACACTCGTTGCCACTTTTGTGATGTCAACGAACACCCATTTGACACTTTTGTAATGTCAACAAATACACATTGTCACTTTCGTAAGGATCGTTGTTGTAAAGACATTGTAATGACAGATTTAACTATAGTAAGCCGTTGAACAATACTGATACCAGACGCCTTCGAATAATCTCGCAATAATAGTCCTTGCTCGATGATACTCTCTCGAACAGGAATTCGTATAGTGATCTGAATAGAAAAATATTATAGGGAACAGAATAGAGAAATAGTATAGACTAAAAATGGTGATCCGAATAGTAATAGAGGATAAAATAGAAATTGCGATCCGTGTAATATAGAGGATAGACTAGAAATAGTGATCATCAGTCGTCAGCTATTTCTTACACATATGCGTTTCCTCTATTGTCACGCGGTCTAGTTATTTCAATAATAGGATCGCGTGTTTGCTCACTGGCGATATATATTCAAATTCAAGTGTCAGAAACGACACGTTATTCCTATATAACATAAGGACTTACTGATACGTCCTACTAATTAACCCATAGCTGCAGGGGACGAGGTGTTTTCGTACCTTTCCAAAGCCTATTTGCGCGTGAGTGAATATAACGAAACTTAATGAAATTTGAACGCGGCTATTCAACTTCCAATTTCGAGCGGTTGTCCATTACACCAACCTCACACCCAAGCTTACAGCACCTCGTATTCCCAAGCGGATACGCATCTCGGTACTGACCAGGCTCGACGTTGCTTAACTTTGGAGATCGTACGAGAACCGGTGCTTCAACATTATATGAGCAGAAGCCCTGTTACAAGAAAACGTAATTTCATAAAATTTCTATAACTGATAATCAAATTTTTATTCTCGATTGTAAAAAAAATGAAACATATGTAAATATTTTATTACAAGCACTACAGGTTTTCACAATCATCTATCGCTGTAATAATAATAAAAATAAAAACCTGTGTTCCACTTGTTTTTTGAGCATCGGCAGTCACATGTGGGTTGTATTATTACATTTGCTTTGTCATATATTTATTTTAGCTTTATACGAATGTATTTTTTTTTCCTTTACCTATTTTGTGAAAAAAACAATGCGCACGTATTTTTTACATGAATTTTTCCAAGATTTAGGAAAATGCTATTAAAATAGGAAAACAAGTGAATGGTCAGAAATTAAAAAAAATACGCATCCAGAAATATTAATGTATTTAATCATCAGACGTGTATGTTTAAAGTCATGGCCACCAAATATGGATTATTTAGTTGAAGCACAATTAAAAATTGCTGGGGTAAATGGTTAGCGAATATCGCTGTTAGTCTGATCTGTTTCCATTCTGTGGTTACAAAATTATACTTCAACCAACAATTTCAACTAATTTTTTGGCCCCTAAATACAGGGCGCGAGGAATAAATTGTCCCCTAAATTATGCAAAAGTTAAAATAGCATGGACATTACATTTTATCAGATATATTTATCAAAAATACGCAAAAATATCTTGAAATACTAAAGAATAAATTTATTCAATAAAAACGACTTCATTGACAACATCCATACGATTTTGGAATTTCTTGCATCTATTCCAGACGGTCTATTCGCTTAAGTAGGTGAATGCTGCAATAATCTTTGCCTTCATTTCATCTTTGGTGTTACAAGGATTTTGTGGGTCTCTCGCTTAACTGAGCCCCGAACATAATAATCAAGGATGTTGCAGTCTGGAGAGTTAAGTGGGCAGACGTATGGGGGTGATGTTATTTCAGAAATTGTCTAAAATCCATGACTGGATTCTCCTTCTTGTATGGCATAGTCAAGAGTCCTGTTGTCAGACATAGTCTTCTAGCAGTCACCTTCTTGAACCAGGTCAGCACTCTCACCTAAAGTCACTTTATGTAGGCCTTCTTGTTGAGTCTGAGGCCCTGTGAGAAAATAAATGTAGGCATAACGTCGCCATCACTATTGATCATCCAAACACCTTCGTAATCGCCAATAGACTAATTCAACTCTTTCTGAATCTTTTGCACCGTCCTTAGATTGACATCCAAACACTTTGAAATATTCGTATTGGAGCTTCCGGCAAGAATTCCAAGCAGTAAAAGATACCGATTCCAAATATATTGCAGAGTGAATTGCTTCATGTTAGTTTTTTTTTCTCAAAGAGGGTGCCTAACTGACCCTGCTATACTGTACTGTGATTAGCATTATAGACTATCATATTCGAATGTGGAAATGTCTCTGAAATGCTTGTGAGAAATTTTGAAGATTTCATTCGAAATCAAGAAAATACGAACATTAAGCAAACTCGTCACAACATACATAAAAAAGGAACAAGATGTCCGTCTAAAATGATGTCACTATGATATCTGATAATTAAGATGGTGCGTTTTGAAAGGTCATAGTCACCAACCCTAAAAAAAACATTCTATAAGCTTTCAATCCCGGCCAGCTTAATGTTAACGGATTTCTATATTATTTATCTATTGTACACGTTTTTTTTATCTACATGTAAACGAAATCAAAATCCGTCAGTAACTGCATAAACTATCATGAAATTAAAGAAAAAAATATTTATAAAATGCAGAAATCAGTGAGGTCATTTGCTTTTTTTTTTAATCATTTCAACCCAGGCAAGGCAATAAAGCTATGAAAATTATTATGGAGAGAGGACAATAAAAGAACAGGATTTAAGAAGACAGAAGATAACGATTGACATGACATTTACATTTTTTGAAGATCAAAATTGACTGGGTAGAAACTAACCGGAAGAGTTTTCCACAAGCGATAAGTGCGAGAAAATAAAATGAAAGCGTAGAAATGTTGTTCTTTTTTTCTATATGCCGTTTCCATTTAGGACGTAGGCGATCATGATTCTTCATCCTCCTCTACCCTAGCAGCTCTCAACATGTTCCTTTCTCTTGCCACCACACCAGACCATGTTCTGTCATCCACTTCCTTAAGACAGCCAGGTATATCACGAGTTATTTTACCTTGTCTGTCTTTCCCTCTATTCGACCCTTGAGTATCAGATTCTCCAGGCCCTCCTTCCTCATTATGTGTGCCAGGAACTCCAGCGGCCACCTCCTGATGTCAATTATAAGCCTCCTCTCTAAGACCTCATCGTTGCTCACACGCTCGGTTTATAATATCCTCTTTGTTGTAGAACCACATCTCCGCCGACTCGAGTCTCTTCTTAATCTTTGAGGAAATCGTCCAGCATTCACTGCCTTAAAGAAGGATTACAGTTGGGTATAGCCATTTTTATTATGAAATGACAAGATCTTGTCGTCTATCTAGTACGAACAGGCTAAATTAACTAAGCCTGAAGAACCACTCAAATAAATGGCTACTAATAAAATGTTAATGATGTGCAAGGAGATACTTACATTGATGGCTTTGGTTATTTAATATGAAAACATTACTAAGGAGCGAGGACAATAAAAGAACAGAGAGAAAACAAAATATAATGATTGACATTGCATTTCAATTTTTGAAGATCAAATTTGTGTGAAGAGCAAGAACCTGGAGGAAGTCTCTACTAATGAGAAGTTCGCTAGAAGAAACTTTTAGCATAAAACTTACTGTTAGGACTAGACATTTCAGCTGTAAAAGTACTTGTCTTCTGCTTAAATTTAAAAACAAAATATCTATGTAACACAGTGGAAAGTTTCATCCGAACAATTACCATGAAAGTATTTATAGACACAGCAAAGGGCGGTGAGAAACTGGCTGAAGTTTAATATGACGATTCAATTAAAATTCTATGATCATCCTCAGAAACACTTCTGACTACTTCTTCCATAAAATGTTTCTCATCCGTAGCACTTAACATTTCGTCATTTATCATTTCTGTCATCTATGAGGAGTTCTCTGAAGGTCCAAGCTCTTGATCTTTTCTCATAATTCAGATATTACTGTATAAGCTGATACACATTATTTTATTTATGTAATGGTAATTCATCCACGCACGCAATAATCTTTGCCTTCATTTCATCTTTGGTGTTACAAAAAGTTTTGTGGGCCACTCACTCAAATGAGCCCCGAACATAATAATCAAGGACTGGAGAGTTATGTGAGCAGATGTAAGAGGTAATGTGATTTCAGAAATTGTCTAAAATCCATTAATGGATTCTCCTGCTTGTATGGCATTGTGCAGAGTCCTGTTGTCAGACATACGCTTCCTGCAGTCACCTTCTTGAAGGTCCAAGCTCTTGATCTTTTCTCATAATTCAGATAGTACTGTATAAGCTGATACACATTATTTTGTTTATGTTATGGTAATATACCCATACCCGCAAAGAATTTCCCAGCTATAAATAGCAGCAGGTACTGCCTTTTAGAGCATGAAGTTTGCAGCAGTCGGCGCTGACAGTCGGACCGAACATTCTTGTTGTAACACTCTCGTTTGTATATGTTTTTTTTATTACTATTTCTTTTAATATATTTGTTTAACCCAATTGCTCTTTTGTGTCTTTATTTCTGATCCTTATAAGACCACAACAATTTGCTACTCCAGCAATGGTCATAACACAGCAGTAGCCTTTTATATACTGCACCCGTAATTCATGGTAGATTCTTATGTTGTTCTTTATATTAGGTTTTAGGGTACGTTGTTTTCAGCTAACATTTAAGGGCTATCCTTAGTTCTCGAGTGTAAACACCATCTCGTTACTTTTCTTTTCCTTTTTGTTTTTGTTCACAATGGCTGTGTTAATATTTAGCTGTTTGACACGTATAGAAGAAATGGTTCCTCTGGATATCGGTAAAGGTGAGACTTGCTTCTGCGTGAACGTTTTGATTCGTGAGAAATAAAGACAACGTCGGAGATGTGCGTCTTTGGTATTTTCAAATATTATTCTTTCTCGGGGAAGCACCGTCGACAGCGAACCCATGCAGGTAAAAGAGAAACGAAAAGGTGGCAGTCTGTCGAAATCGAGAAACAGAATTCTTCAAAGGAAACAATTCAAACGTAAATATCGTTCAAGATTTTCATTCAATGTGTCATTTTTTTTAAAAAAGATTTTTTTTTGAACAACACGAGAGAAAGATTCTTTTTTAACATCTTATGTCATCAGTAAAATATTTGTTTACAAGAACGAATATATTAAACTAAGAACATCAAAAACTGTATATTTTTTTTTCTAGAGGCAGCATGAATATGTTTTGGGAGATAAAAGCTGAGAATTCCGTGTGTGGAAACAAGGAAATCTCAAAGAAAACGACAACGGAAGGAAAACGAGTTAGAAAACTTAACGCTCTCAGGGCATATTGACGGTAAGTAAAATAGAGGAGGAAGCGAGTCACGTACATGAAGAACTTGTGTGAATAGATAGAGGAACTGGGGTGGGGGAGAATTATCAAAGGGATAAAAACTGCTAAGGTGCCATAAAGGATAAGAAGCATTCGTTTCTAGATCCATATTTCACCAAATTTCACTTTATCTTTATAGTGAGATTCTCGAAGATTTATTGTTATATAAGAGGATGGATATCACATCGTAATCCATTCTTCTTTTCTTTGTATCAAACTATTTTTTCCATTTCTTTGTCGTACCATTTAGTAGGCATTGTTGGTATTCCAATATGTCTTCGGATTTCGGGGTCACATATTCTATCCTCTGTTAAAACAATTCCCTTATATTTAAGCTACTGTGCTTGCTTGCTGCTGACATCTTCAGTTTACATCTTGGGCGTTTCTTCTTGCTGATGGCCATACATTCCTTTTTACAATTTATATTTAGGCTTTTCTTCTCGTCTCCTTTAACACTTTGTCTGTGATCTCATGTTGGTTTCTTTTCGTGT